ATATTTGAAATGATTAAATGATTCCCACTTTATTTTCATTAAATTTTTGTCCGTAATACATTAGTTTAAAAGAACATACAACGATTAATTAATAGATTTAATTAAAGCATGCTACGTAAAATTAAATATAACGTCCTACTTTTTTTCTTCATTAAAAGCTCCTTACATAAAAATATAAAACTGAGAAGGATAAAAATATGTTTTATAACCACCAAGTCTACAAATTAAAAAGAAACAAAGATAAATGGCTTAATAACCTCTCAAAAAGTCTTCGAACAAAATCTTACAAGGTTAATGACTTAGGAGGATAGGTCCCTTAAGGTTTTTTTTTTTTTTTTTTTTTTTTTACATATTACACCAACGTGATTGTTATAACCGTTTAAAAAATATAATAAGGTTTTAATTTTGTCCACAATAGGTCCCTAACGTTTTTTTTTTGTACATGTTACACCAACATGGTTGTTATAACCGTTTAAAAAAGGGTAATAAAGTTTAATTGTGTCCACATTAGGTCCCTATTTTTAATATGTTTATCATTTTATCTAACTCTTTTACATCAATACCTAAAAATAAGAAATTTTACAGCAAACTTTATATCAATACCTAAACATAAGAAATTTTACATCAAACTTTATATCTTCGAAAAATATGAAACCATCATACATGCAATGAGTGTGTTAGTATTTTACTTCTTGTATACTACAGTTATCCTTACTGACGTCCTCTGATGTGTTACACATGGTGGCTTGTGATCGTGGAAGAGAAGAAAAGAATGGTTTTGGTGGAATTTCCAGTGACTCCATGCTTCCTTCTAACATTTCAATCACTCCATTGATGGATGGCCTTTGTTTCGGATCAGTTTGTATGCACCATAAGCCGACTATTGTCATTTTTCTAGCATAATCATTTTCCTCTATAGTTGTCAAACCATCTAATAAGATTTCATCCTTCTTCAGACGATTGTAAATCCAGTGAGGGAAATATATCTCACTCGTATGCCCAGAACCAACACCAGCATCAACATTTTTCCTTCCCCCAACCATTTCTAATATTAACATCCCATAACTATAGACATCCGATTTATGGGAGACCCCTCCGAAGTTTCTATTAACAACTTCAGGGGCAATATACCCAATAGTGCCTCTAGCCTCTAACATAGATACGATACTGTCTTTCCTAGAGTATAATTTTGCAAGCCCAAAATCTGCTATCTTGGGACAAAAGTCTTCATCCAGGAGGATATTATGTGGCTTTATGTCAAGATGCAAAATTCGAGTGTTGCAGCCACGATGCAAGTAGTCAAGACCTCGTGCAATTCCAAGGGCTATCTCATATAACTTGTCTACACCTATGGGTTTGCTTGTATTTGGACAAACACGACCATATATAAACTTTTCTAACGATCCATTTGGCATGAACCCATATACGAGAGCTCCTTTTTGATGCTCAAAACAAAATCCCAAAAGAGTAACAATGTTAACATGAGATGTCCTACCAATGCTTGCAACTTCGTTTATGAATTCTTGCCCAGTTGCTTTTGATGAGTTCAAAACTTTTACTGCCACAAGACGTCCATCTGAAAGTTTCCCTTTAAACACAGTACCGAAACCTCCTTGTCCTAATTTAACTTCAAATGAGTTTGTCATGTCGTTAATATCAGCATATGTGTATCTTTTTGCACTCAACGATCCATATTGTATGACAAAGGCCTCAATGCTATTCTCGTCCGCAGTTGGATGATTAGATAAGACAACACAATTGCTTCTTAGTGAGGATTTCATACTGCAAATGCACATCAACACAATTGATAGTGATATTGCCGATAGAATTCCTAGAACTGCAAACAAAGAAAAAGTTACTGCCTCAGAAATAGCCTTGAAAAAGATTCTAATATTAATATTTATCACAAAATGCAACCATGGTCTTCGTTCCTTATCGCATTTAATTATAGGAAACCTCCAATCACCACAACCTTTGGAAATTTAAATCAAATTATAACAGATAAGTCGATAAACGTACTCATTATTTTAACCCAAATGCCGGACCCTGCAATACCAATAAAAACTTGTATTAAATCTTGCTTACTACGATAGCCATGAAATATAGGAATGTTGAGTACACTAACCTTATAATGAGTTTTTAAAAAAATAACCATTTTTTTCAGTTAAACGATCACTTGCTCCAAAATGCTCTATTTTGGATTTGATTTTCAAATTCCAGAGTTTTTGTTTTCCAATTTTTTTTCCAAAGAAATATGTATACTTATATCTGAAATATCAATTTCGAAGTGTTTAATATCATTGTTTTTCAATCAGATGTATGATTTTACTCTTTAATATTGTATATAATTCACATTTACTATTGTCTGTTTAACTTTTGCGTTGTATTTAAGTAAAAAACAAATTTTTTTTTGGAAATTATTGGGAAATGATCATTGGATTTCGAACTTGTTTTTGAAATTATATAGTTTTTTTTCGAACTCCGAAATTTCTGTCTGGAAGCCAGAATGTTTGTTCGGAATCCAGAATGTTGGTCCGAAGTTCCAAAATGTTAGTTCAAAATATACATTTATGTCAGAAAAAATAGTTTTTATCTCAGTATGGAGTACTCATTCCGGATTAAGTGGTTATTTTTGCAAAAAACAATTTTTTTGGTTATATTTTTCAAATACAGATTAAATTATGATTAGATTCCTCAATTTCTCTTAAATGTAAGTTTCTTAATTCATTTTAGATGGTTTTGACCTACCTTTCATAGATTAACTTTTTAGATAGTTTTCACGTACGACTAGTCTATCCTCTCTCATTGATGCCTAAACTATGTGCGGCGTGTGCAACTACTTGTGGCCTCATGGACCGATCGGGCCTAAGTGTAGCCTATAAGCATCTCCATTGAAAGCTTTTTAGAAACATAAAATATTAAGAATTCACCTATAAACTTTTTTTACCAAACGATGCTCTTTTAGTTTAATTATAGGAGTATCTTCGGAAAAAAAAAACCCCAAATGTCACATCTTTCCTTTAGTTTAGTTATTGAGTCGATGACCCCGAAACATTTATACAAACAATAAATGTGTAATTGTGTGGTGATTAGATAATAGGGGATTATTTATATTCAAAGAGTATGATAGTATAGACAATTAGTTTATTAATTTGTTTCATTTTGTGTGTTACTTCCTGAATATTAATTTATTCAAAATGTCATAGTGACTTTTGGGAGTATGTATTGATTTAAGATTGTCCTGAAATCTTTGTAGATTGTCCATGGTGATTGGACATTGCATAGGGATTGTTGCAAGATTCATGAGTACTTAGAAAATATGAATTTTGAGTACTGGTTAAACCCCCGCTTAGATATTATTTCATGGATTCAATCACGAGTAATTCTAAGACGATAATATTTTTTATTCTTCAAACGGAGATATATAAGTCATAGTTTGCAAGTCTGTTGTACATTGGTTTGCATTGACACATTCGTAACAAGATGTCATAAAGTGTAATTCCATGTATGGCATGATGAGTGAAAGGTATGATTATATAGTCAAAGTTTATTCGTTTCTTTTGGCTTAACAAAAAAGTTATATCTTCGGGCACCTCAATGATTTCTTGCCGATATCTGAAGTGTTTGGCAATGTCCAGACTAAATTGATGTGTTTAATTAGTAGTCTGAATCCAGTCGTCATAAATCAGAAATCAGGAAACAGAATCTTGGACTATGAGATTGATTTATATTCGTGTCTCATGTCCATATGATATCTTATAGATAGAATGAATAGTTGATCACTTAGATTAGGGCCAGCGTCTGTTTTAATCATAGTTCGACAATGGCTTTGGAATGCACTATTTACTTGTTATTAAGAGATTTATACTTGCAATTCTAGTTGACGACTTATCCAAGTGGGAGACTGTTGGATTAAGGTGTCTAAGGTCATAACTGAATTGGTATAATTAATAAAAGTAAATTCCTTCTTGGGTTGCCCTTATAACCAGGAAATATCTTGGATTGATAATAAGAGAGAGATAAAAGATTTATTAATATATTATGAGATTAATATATTAATTATAAATAGTAATAATTAATTAATAATTAAACATAATTAATTGGAATTAATATTGGGTTAATTAGAATTAATAAATGGTGAATGGGTTGAATTGTAACTGTTTAATAATTGAACAAGGAAGGCAATTCTAGAACCCTCCATCTTATGGACGTTTTTTGAAACAATACTTGAATAGGTATAAAATAATATTAATGAAACAAGATTTGAATAGGTATAAAATAATATTAATTTATTATTCAAATATAGGGTTTTAGTGTTATCTGATAGCTATATAAATGGTCTTAAACCTAAGCAAAAATCGATCCATCCTTCTCACATAGAGAAATCATTTTTCTCCCCTCTCCCCTCTCTCTTATTTCGATCCTAGGGTTTCCTAGGGTTTGGGAGTGATACATTAGAGGCTTCCACATTATTGGGGCTAGCACTCCATAGAAGGGTTCTTCAAAGTTGGTTGTTATTTTTTATTATAACAGAAGGTATGTAACCTAAACTTTGTAATTTTTTATTTTAGCTAGGGTTATTTAGTTTTTCAAAGTATGTTGCTATTATGAGAAAATCCATAGAATTTCTAAGTTGCATGTGCCTGTAATTGTTATGTGAAATTCTGCAAGTACATAGAAGTAATCTTGATAACCCATGAATAATTATCATTTTTCTTGTTAGTGTATCCCACATAGGTGTGATATGGTCTTATAACTGGATATATATGTTGGAGTCTCCCTTCTCTCTACAAAGGATATATTATAGAGTTAATATGGGCTCCACATATATTTACATGGTATCAGAGTTGGTGTATACCACCCCCGTGGCTCAATACATCCCTTTTTATCCTCATCGATCCTCCGAATCTAAATAGGAGTGTTATTGTATCTCACATCGGTGTGACACGGTCTTGTAAGTGGCTATATATGTTGGAGTCTCCCATCTCTCTACAAGGACTCGTTTATAGAGTTAATATGGGCTCCACATATATTTACATTTCTGAATTTTTTTTAATTCATCTCAGTTAAATGTTGAAAGTAAACTAATGTAACCAATTTTTTTTTCTTGAGCATGACACCAATGGGCATCATGAATGAGGTCTCTTACACGTATAAACACACAAAGGAAACATTAATACTACTTCTAACCTACTTATCCATAATATATAAAACTCAAATTAGTTTTATAAATATTTTTTTAGATAAAAACGTTTTTATATTGTTGCTTTACAAAATTATGTCTTACATTGGTAGTTGTCGTTTGATGGTATAAAATGGTTATATGTGTTTGAGATAGGTAACAAGGCGTTCATTGTTGGTGATTTTAGCGTCACTGGTTCATTTTATGTGTTGGGCTTTATACATATTTCAAATGGGATTATATCGTAGTTTTAATAAAATGTTGGAGGTGCGGAGTGCACACTTGTATTAATATAGATTGATTTTGGTATGAACAAAATAACAGGGGTCAAGAAGATTGTGCCCCCCTTGCAATGTTCCAAAGGGCAACGCCCCTTGGCGGGCTAGGAAAAAAAATTTAATTACTAAAGGTACCTTAGTAGACATTAATGAATTTTTAGGCGGTCTAAAGTAATTATGTATGCTTTTTGTAACGCCCGCGGATTCGGGTTAGTCAATTTAGAGACAATAAGCGTCAAAAACGACTTATGATAGAAGATTATTTCGAGTAAATAATATTAACCAAGTTATAGTATATGTCACAAGGATTCCATACATATAAAGAACGTTGAAATCTGACTTATAACGAAGAAGTTATGACCCGTCGAAGTTTTGCGACTAAACCGGCACGACGTTGTGTATCGTAAAAAGTGAGTTTGCGATAAAATACTTTTTAGCATTAGCGATCTAAACGAAATTCATAGTATACGTCAAACCGAGAGCATTCATATAGAGAACGTCCAAATCTGACTTCGTTAGAGGAAGTTATGACTTCGTTAGAGTTTAAAACACCTTTAAATGTGTTGAAATACCCTCAATTAAT